TTGGCTGAAGAACTAATCCTATTCCCCCTCAGCAAAAGGGGCAATCTCCGGTGCCACACCCGGGCATGGCCATGCCATACCCAGCACCAGGAGCATGCCCCGGCTGTGGGCTCACCTGCAAACTGGGTGTAGACCGTGTCCTGAAGGAAGGTGGCACATCCAAAGTCAAGGAGCTTTGCCTCGCTGGTGGACAGGTCGAGGAGGATGTTCTGGGGCTTGATGTCCCGGTGCAGGACGCCGCAGCTGGTGCAGTGCCGCACGGCCTTCAGCACCTGGTGGAACAGCCCCCACGCCACCTCCTCCGGCAGGAACCTCCACACCGTGATTAAGCCAGAGAGGTCCCGAGAGCGCTCCGGACGCTCCATCACCAACAAGAAACTGTTGGGGAGCTCGAACCACTCCAGGAGCTGGATGACACTACGAAAGCCATTGGACACCTTGTCCAGCAGCACGATCTCCAGGGGTGCCAGGGTGCCGTCAGGCTGCGGGGGGACCACGGGGTCGTCAGTGGGGCTGATGCCGTGCCTGTCTGCCTGCTACCCCTGCGCCAGCCCTGGATGCTCCCCGGCCCCCACCGACCCCACACCCACTCTCCCTCCAGGTGTCCCGGCGGCTTCCACCCTCCCGGGCCTCGGCTCGTCCCCGCCCGTCCCGCCCCGCTTTCTCCCGCTGGCCCCGCTCGCTCACCAGCTCGCCCCAGCGCCGGATGAGATCTCGGGGCACGGCTTTGATGGCCACCTGCAAGCCAAGGGGAAGGGTGGGTTGAGCTCGCCGCCCGTCCCACTCTCCTCCTCCTCCTCCTCCTCCACTCACCGGGGCTCCGTCCGCCAGGCGGGTCCCCGCGTAGACGCGGCCGAAGCCGCCGCTGCCCAGCAGCGAACCCAGCCGGTAGCGCTTCTGCAGGGGCCCCTTCGCCTTCCGTGCGGGCGAGACGTGGCCGTCAGCGTTCGGGCAAGGGCCCGGCACGGCCCCCGAGCGCCCCTCGAGCGGCCCGGGCCGGGCTTCCCCACCCGCAGCGGGCAGCGGCGGCGGAGCTCTGCCCGGGGAAGCCGCCGAGGAGGCGGCAGCGGCCACGGCGCCCGCGTCCCCCGCCGGCCCCGGCAGGCGCCGGGCTCGAGCCAGGAGGAGCCAAGGGGCGGCGAGGCCGAGCCCGTCCCACAGCCCGCCCCACAGCCAACCCCACAGCCCGCCCCACAGCCCGTCCCACAGCCCGCCCCACAGCCAACCCCACAGCCCGTCCCAATGCCCTCCCCACAGCCCGTCCCACAGCCCGTCCCACAGCCCGCCCCACAGCCAACCCCACAGCCCGTCCCAATGCCCTCCCCACAGCCCGCCCCACAGCCCGCCCCACAGCCCGTCCCAATGACCGCCCCACAGCAGTGCCCAGCAGCGCCACAGCCGGCGCGCCGGGAGCCGGGCGAGGGCGGGACCGCGCCGGGCCGCCCAGGAACGGGGACGGGGCGGCCCCGCCCGGCAGAGGGGAATGGCCGGGGCCATGGCCCGGGCCGGCAAGGGGAGGGGGGACTGGGAACGGGACAGGGACACCGGGACAGGGACACTGGGACAGGGACACCAGGACAGCAGGACACTGGGACAGGGACACTGGGACAGGGACAGCGGGACAGCGGGACAGCGGGACAGCGGGACACCGGGAGAGGGAGAGGAGGAAGAAGAGCAAGAGGAAGACCGAGAGCGCGTCTCTAGAGTCGCTGCTGCCGCCGCCGCTGCTGCTGCCGAAGCGCCGGGGCCGTTGGTCTGTTCGTCCGTTTGTCCGTTTGTCCGTTCCCCGTTGGCCCCCGCGCGCCCCGGGGGCAACCCCGGCTGGAGTCACGGAGCTCCCCTTCCTCCCGCACCCATGCCAAGACCACGGGCTTTTTTAGCTGCTTCACTTTAGTTTGACTTCTTTGCTGGCAAGTTTGCAACTTCCCGCCGCTGCTCGGACCCCATCCCACCCGCTCGGCCCGCGCTGCTGTCGCTTCCTCCCAGGCCAGCCGGGGGCTGGACTTGCCCCTGAAGTTTGGGAAGGGGTTTGCTCAGTGAGGAGCCCCGGGATGTCCGGCCAGCGCCAGGCAGAGCCAGCCCCGGGGGAGGGCAGAGCAGGAGGATCGGCAGGGGAAATGCAGCCCTTTGGGGTCAGTGCTGATCCCCGACCACACCAGGGCTGTTCCTGTTTTCGTGCCCGCTTAGAGGGGAAAACCAGCGACTGCAGAGAGGATTAAAAAGAAGAGAATTAGAAGACTCTTCTTGCTGCCATTTGGATGCCAGTCCATCCTAATAAATCCAAGCTTAATTTGGAATGGACACGATTTAGCAGCTTTTTCAGGGGACAGTGGAAAAAGGGGGGAGAACGGGAGAAAAGGGGGGGCTGGGACCTCCAAACTGAGCGGGGCAGGGGCTGAGACTCTGAAACCGAGCAGGGCAGACGGGAAGAAACAGCCCCAAACCGAGCTGGGGGGGGGGGCGGGGGACGGTGGGGGGGATGGGAAAAGGGGGGGAGAGGGGGGAGAAAGGGGCTGGGGGAGGGGGGGGGGGGGGACGGGGGGGGGGGGGTTCCCATATGGGTCCCCCATCAGTTGAGCCCTGGGAGCGGTTCCCTGAGGCTCTGGGAGGGGGCAGATCCGCACTGGTAATGTCCACTGCTTCTGAAACCCTTTCTGTGCTTGCTCTGGTCACGATTCTCCACAGGTCCCCAACCCTGGGGGCTGATGGGGAACTCCCCCCACCCAGCAGCTGGTGCTGCAGCAGCTGTGGGGCAGAGGGGGGTGGGAAAGGGCTACATTTTGCTACACTGCGCTCTCCCATTGGCTGCTCCCCGGCACACTCAGCAACAGTACACGAACCCTAAAATTGCACCCATTACACTGTGCCAATTATAGAACGTCTTACCCATAACATTTTCCCGTAACGTTTTCCCAATAGCAATTTAACATTTTCCGGTGTCAGGAACGCGTCCCATCGTCACCCCCCCAAGTGCAAAGGGCCGCCATGACCCGCCGTGAGGACTATAACTCCCGTGTTCCGTGGGGGGGGGGGCATGGCAGTGGGCGAGCGGGGGGCGAGACCGCACGCTGATTGACTGTGGGGGTCTCTCTGGAGGTGGGCAG